TAAAATAATGTGTAAGTTATTACTAGTAGTATATTGCAAATATTTTAATTATATTTAAATTGTTTTAAAAATTATTATCAATCACATTTGACTGATAAACGTCAGTCATAATTTTTATAAACTTTAGTGTATTGCCATTTTGCAATATTTTTTAAATATTTTAAGCTTATAAATTATAATGAAAAAAATTAAATCTAATATATAAATTATTAACATATAGTATTATAAATGACACATCAAATCTGATATCATACTGGCAATGCCAGCTACCCAAGTTAGTGTGGAAGGATGTTTTTCAACAATTAAATTTATATTATCTCCTTATAGATGTAATTTGAGTGAGACGAATTTTGAAAATATATTAATTGTGCAGCTTAATAAAAAAAATTTAAGTAATTGTTCATATTTAAATTATCATTTATATATTTATTTGTTATATTTATAAATTAAATATTATTTTATAATGTGCAATTAATAAAAATGATGGTTTAATTATGAAATAAAAAAAAAAATTTCCTGATACATAATCCTAATGTAGGTTTGAATACAAGTTCAACCCGGGTTTTAAAGGTTCGAACCGAACCGATATTTTTATTTTTTGCGAACCGAACCTGAACCTTAAACCATTATTTTTATCCGAACCTGAACCGAACCGATATTCGTTTCAGTTTGGATCCCTGCCAATAAGTAACCATTTTGCATATACATTATTTTCCTATAGCATTTTCACAAAACCTCTGCCTATAACTTTTTCAACTAAGAAGCTCCAACAGGCGTCAATAATTAAGCATTTATCTTCGCTTAATATCGACAATAAGTGGCCATCTTGCGTATATCTTTTTTGCCTAAGAAGCGCCAATAAACGCCAATTAGTAGCGATTTCGCCTATAGACTTTTCGCCTAAAAAACGCCAATAAGTTTTAATGAATGCCAATCAGCGTCTACATGACAGAATTTTCACTGGATGCAAACCCCCTTCAAAAACCTTCGCCTACCCCCTTAAAAAATTTACCACCTGCCAAAATCAATATTTTATAAATATAAAGGATTTATTTTGTAAATACAAAGGATTTATTTTGTAAATATAAAGGATTTATTTTGTAAATATAAAGGATCTATTTTGTAAATATAAAGGAATTATTTTTTAGATAAATTCAATTAAAACCTCGATTATTTACAATGAATTCATTATTATGCATTATGAGCTTGCTAAAATATCTATTTTAAATAAAATTTAAAAGGATAGTAGAATTTGGAAAACAATGTATATGATTGTTTGCAATATATAGATTTGGTCGATGAATTGTATTATAATAGTTCTATAATAAAAGTATTAATTTCTACAGCAATAAATTTAAATTTATTCTATTTCATCTCAAATTTAATAGATAACCCCCCAAAAAATTTATCCTACCCCCATTAAAGCCGCCTACCCCCTACTCTCCTCAAAAAAATAGGACGCAAACTGTTCCTACCCCTCCCGCTCATGTAGACGCTGATGCCAATAACGAATATTTATGATATTATTTATGGGTATACCGGAAATTTGCCTACTAACATACGTGTTTAACAAAAATCCTGCATAGTCTCGGACCAGTGCTGTATTGCTTGAAAATTTTCTAGCTACAATTTTTTTTATATATTATCAAAAATAATATTAATACTAACTAAAAAAAATTACGAAATTTTTCATTTCTTCGTTTACTTTGGATTATATTATTTAGAAATTTTTATTTTTATTCATATATTTAACAAATTATCGATTCTTATATTTAATTCATTATAATTTTGTTCATAAAAAATTATTTTGATATATTTTTTAATCATGTCAACAAATGTTTCATTTGTTCAAATTTCTTAAACTCACTAAGTCTAACCTTTTATATAAACATGCTTATAAAGGCATATCATGTCCCTACTCTTATAAACCTCCTACTAAAGAAGTCATAATAATAACTAATCACTCTAAAATAAAGTTTGAGACAAATCTTTATTTCCATTTACTTCTAGGATAGATTCTTTGTTCAAAAAGGAGTCTACTTTAACACATTTATCCAAGAAATCATGAAATTTAAATTACAATTTTGTAATCAAACCTATCTCCAAAGTCAAAGATAACATAAATTGGCCAACATCATGGGAGATCCTCCTAACTCATCCTCGCAAATGTCTCAAACGCCCTACAAATAAAAAGCATCATTACATGAACATATTAGATATCAAATTAAAAATTTGATACAAATGACAGTCTATACTTTTAAGCCATAAATTTAAAATAATAGCTAACAAAATAGATCATGGCTAAATAGTATGAACAATTAAATTGTATATTCACACAATAAACTTGCCCCTTTAAATCCCTAACATTCTAGCTCCTTATATAACTTAAGGCTTCCAAGCCAAAATTACCCAATCTTCTAGACCATCAAACATAAATTATTACTAGATTCTGTCTCAAGAGAGTATTGAGGAAGGGGATCCACTAGGACCTCTTTTATTTTTTTTTGGAATTTACAATTTAGTTTTCCAAAACTAAATTTAAACTTAGATCTCTTACGGTATATAGAAGATGGAACCATGTGTGCCCCTTCTAATGCACTCGGTGCTTTAAATTATTGGAAAACAAAGGAACAAAATTAAACCTAACCATGGGATTACGCCTAAGGCGTGACATCGCAATACGATGTGACATTCTCTTCAATTTTTTTTCTTACCACTAAATTTTAACCCTTAGTCTACCACTTTCATAATATAGAAGCAAACCTCACCTTTTCACAACCATGTATTCCTAAGTATATTTTAAATCGTAACTTCTCGGATAATTGTTATCCCATTGAGGACGAGCGTGGTATATTATATGCATTGCAACTTATTTTTATCATATTCATAGATGTAGGCAATATTTTTAATAGTATTAGGAAGACATTATTAGATGAGGTTTTCCCAATAAATTTTGCTAAAAATCTTTAAGTCTACTTATCATAGACCTTTGGCTATATTAGAATTTTATAAAAATAATTTCGGGGTATCATTTTTTTATATATATAAATGCTTTATTTTCTAAAAATTTTGTATTATAATAAAATTATAATTTATCCTTCATATTCTTGTATAAAGTGATAAATTGTATATATTTTGATGGAAGAAGGTGGTGGGGAAATGGATGGGATTTTATTAGCTTAAAGTGATATTTAAGACGACAGGCAAATTTCAAAAGGAATCCTCATGCCCCCTCCCACCTGAATATATTATATCAAACAATATTAAATAAATTTTTTCCAAATATAATGTAATTAATAGAGATATTTCCTTTCAAGTTTAAAATTTTAATATTCATTAGTCTTGACATTTATTTTATTAAAAAATGGATTTTGAAGGTATTAAAGCGTTTGATGACAATAAATTTTAAAGGTATATAAAATTTAAGATATTCTTTATAGATCTATGAAGTTCAATTTTGATAAATTTGATGGAGATGGTGGAGGGTAATAAATAAAACTAGAAATTAGCTCTTAGCTTATTTATTTGATGCCTGTCTATTACCCAGTGGCGTAGCTAGGAATTTTCCTTAGAGGGGGTCCAAACATATAAAAGCCTGGGGGGCAAAGCCCCCCAGACCCCCTTTGGTTTATCTTACAAATCATAACCATATCTTCGATAATATATAATAAATATATTTTTTAAATGCTTCAATAATTCGTTATTATGATTTAGTAGATTATTCCTAATGACTTTATAATAATACTATCCAGAATAATTTCACTAGTAATATAATATCCTTCCACAAACATCAAAACCCGTATAAATATTAATGTTATTTATTTGATATAAGGTCACCACTTTTAAGTCTTTTAAACGTAATCTAAAAATAAATTTTTGCTCTGGGAGGGGTCCAAACCCGAAAACCACCCCCGTAGCTACGCCACTGCTATTACCCCACCTTTTAACTGGGTAAATAATTAAAATTGTTCAAATAAAATCTCAATATATAAAAATTATGTATGACGAAGGAATCTTCCTTCATACATTATTTTTAAAATTGAAATTAATTTCTGTCATGGACAAAAAAGTTTTTAATGGGAGAGTTGTATTTTATTTTATATATCCAAACCAAAAATTAATAAATGCACACTAATATTCCAATTTGTATAACGTGGGAAGAAATAATTGAAAAGTTAAATATTTAAAATTATTTATATTTCAAAACATAACAAATATAAAACATGCTTTCAATTAAAAGAAATAAATAAATATTGCTAGAGAGTTGTGTTTAAATTAGAAAAAGTATATGTGTTTATAGAAGGTCTTATTAAATATAATATAGTAGATGATATATGTATGCGCATTAATCTTAAACTGTGTTTTTTAGAACAACTAGTTTATTAAACGGTATCATAATTAAATTTTAATATCTTTTGTTGACATATTATTTTATTTCATCGGTTAATTGTTGTAAGCATTAATTATTTTACATAAATAATTTATATTTAATAACATGGACATTACAAAAATACTATATAAGAAAACATTAAAATTAAATGAAGGGAATATATATTATATTATTGATATCGGTTTTTTGTTTTGTTTCATACAAAAATTTTTTATCGTACCTTTCTTCTTCATATCTGTCCTATGCTTTTGTATCCTTACATGTGGTAGTATTATTTTTTGTTCTCATAGATAAAATTCTTTTTATAAATCTCAATATATGAAAACTAGAATTCACATTATTCTTTCACACTTAGACATGCGAAATGACAATGAGCCTAGGGATTCGGTCTCGAGCTCGAAAAGCAGTTAAATTTTTTTTTTAAATATAGTTTTTAAAGAGAGACTTATCGCCTTCTGATATTCTCCCACAAAATATGTTAATAATTTATTTTAATATTGCATTTTTACTCGAGGATATGTATATTCTAACATATGTTATTTTTTAAAATATATATAGCTCAAGGAATGATTGGAAAAGAATAATGAATAAAATGCGAATATAAATATAATTGTAATTAAGTTATTATATATTATTTTTTAACGATGTTAAAGAAGATAAGATTTTTGTGTGAAATATTAACTGATCTATTTTTTGTTGTATTAGGTAATTTTGCCTAAATTTTATCCCATAAATTAATATAAATTCCTTGACTATAATTTTTAATTTTTCAAATATTATAGCCCAAATACCATGGGCATGTATTAGAACGAGGGCCATACCTTTTCATAGAGGTTTTTTTTGTGATGATCAAACTCTCATGTATCCGTATAAAGAGTCTAGTCTTCGCAGGAGTGGATTGGTTGCTATCAATTTTTTGATTCCAATATTTACAGTAAAATTGATTTTTTTAGTTCTTTAATTTTATTTCAAATATCTGTAATAGATTATTTTGTTTATAATTAATAAATACTCTTTTATCAAAATTGATTTTTATATAAAAAATAGTTTTTATTAGTACATAATAAAATTATTATAAATTATGTAATTCTTATTTATTTAAGTCAAAGGCCTGCAGAGTTTAAAATATTAAGCTAGACCTTAATTTTTTTGGCATCTATTTTGTCAAATTGTTTCAATGAGGCATTGAAAATATGAGCAGTAAATAAATGTTAAACCACCTATTATATGATTTTCTAAGTGATTGATTGGTATAATTTAAAGATGTGTTCAGACTGACCTAGAATTTATGAAAAATTGTTTTTAAACCAAGTTCAAGTTTATAATTTTTATTTATTTTTTTGCCTAGCCTAGATTTTTAAAGTTATGCCATTTTATCCACCAGATTTGGAGCTGACTATGCAGGTCTCTGATTTAAATAAAAGGGTTTAATTTGTAATATATCTATTATTTTCTGTCTAAGTTATATATACACATGTTTTATTAGATATTGATATTGGAATTTATCTTAGCTGGATTATATCACCAAAAGTTAACTGTTAATGAAGGAAACAAAAACAAAGGAATCTATGTAAGATTTGCATTCAAAGCTTTGTGCGCCTTTTTTATTGGATATGGCATAAATCTAACTGCTACATGTAAATATCACTTATTTATAAAGAAAAAATATAACTATTAATGAAGTTTGGAAATCCTATATTTTTGTATTTGTTATAATTATAATGATGCCATGAAGCCTATTTTTTTATTTCATTTGTTTTTGTATCAAACTAGTGAAATTAATTTAAAAATTTTTTTAAAACAATTATTTTCTACTTATGAATATTTAAAATATTGCAAAAAATTACATATAATTATGGAAAAACATAAATTTCACTAGGGATATAAAAATATTTTCAAATGAAAAAAAAATCATGCCTAAAAATAAATCATTAACCAAATTTAAAAAAAAATTAAATTTATGAAGTTAATTTTTTTTATAATAAACTCAATTCAACAAAATGAACCAATTATAGAAAATTAGTTATAAAATTTTGTTAGAATATATTTTTCATAGAAGAGTATTAATTTGAATAAAAAACATAAAAAAAACGTTTTTCCCGTTCGTTTTTTATTTTGCGAAAAATCCTTTTTTTTAAGCACTAGATTTTACAAAAACGAAGATAACCTAAAAAAAAAATTACGAATAGATCAAAATAAATATTTTAACATTCAATGTGTTTTATATGACGATTTTCTAATAAATGACAGTTTGAAAAAAAAATTGTAATTTTCATTCATAAAAAAATCTAATTTTTTTGAATATTTATTTTCAAACTCTGCTAGATGATGTTGTAGTTCCGATTAAAAAAAATTAATTTAATAGACTTATAAGTAGTTAAAATAAAATCACGAATGTTTTGTACTTATCATAGATAAATTATAATTATCAATATATTTTGACAACATCATTTTATATTTAATTTTTTGAATCTAATTCGAAATCTGTCCAGTCAGAAATTTTTTTTAGCTGGCCCAAAAGTATACAATCTGGCTTAAACTCGGGTTTGCAGGTTCTATTTTTAACATGGAAGTCACAATTATATCTAAGAAAAAATTTATTGAAACAGGGAGAAGTGTATTTTACCTTTTCTTTGGCTAAAATTACTTTAACATTACAAAATCGTATTAAGGACTTATATGACCAATTTTGAAATAGTATGCAATATATAAACATGAAGTAAGATAATAAATCATTCTTTCCTAGCCCACGTATTTCTTTATCATATTGCCACGAGCTAAAAGACAAGTTTTAAAAAGAGTTTGTTTTATCGCACTTTTTGCCTCCACAATGTGTAAAGCTAAAGGCCTTGAAAACTGAAAATTTTTTCTTAAATTGAATGTCATTAATTTTTCGCAAATCAATTTTTCACAAAAAAAAAATCAATCTTTTTTATTTTTCTCTTATTTTATTTTCTCTCAAAGGTTATATCAACATTATCCCTCATTTTCATTTCCCCAATAAATTTAGAATAATAAATATAAGAGAATAAATTTTAAATTAAGAAAAAAACATTATGTATATCATATAATATTACAATGTTTGACCTTAAAATTTTAAATAAAATGAAATCACTTAAAATATATTATAAAAAGTAGCTCATTACCTTAATATTATTATTTTTTTTCTCCCAAAATCGATATTATTTCTAGGTTGATCGGGAAAATCAAAATTAAATATGCAAAAATAAATGGTCATATTTCAAAAAAAATTTTTAAATAATTATTTTTACAAGAATAAATAGATTTGTTTAATCTTTAAATTAAAGCCCTCTGTATGCTAGCCCGGCCCTAACATACGAAGTCAGAAAAAAAATATTTGCCCATAATTTTATATTATAATCGTAAAAATATTAAAATTGTTTATTCATTCAATCAAAAAATAACCTACCAATCACCCCCTTCTCTCATGGAGGGAGTGGTTTATTTACCATAACATAATTTGTCTTGAGAGTAACTACTAATGTTGTTGTCGGCTAAGTCGAGTCGACTAAACCTAAATTGTATTCAAGTTTTGAGCTGTAAGATTCACTTCACGCATGAGTTGACTCGCTAATTAGGCTTCAGAGTCGGCCCGATATTTTTTAAATATTTTCCTCGTGGAGTAAATAATGAAAGTAGACGAGCCGGAGCCGCTCAATTTAAAATCGTATTTTACGACTACAACTCGAGTTCAGAGTAGTAAAAACTCGACTTTTTCACAACACTAGAACTACCTAGGCCTCTCAATCTTAATTATCTTCTATAGGTATTGATATCTAATAAGGTTTATTTCAATGATCAACTTTATTAATAAAACAAATAATTATAAAATATCCTATCCATAATTTCTACATAGGTAGGTCACTGAAAAACCTCGTTATTAATATGCTTAAAGTTTAGGTATATTATTTTTTTTTGGGTAAAATTTTTATTTAATCACTCGTTAATAATATTTTTAAAGTTTAGATATATTATTTTTTTGGGATTAAATTTTGATTTAATCAATTTTAATCGAGATTTTTGATAACACTACATGTAATGGGTATCCAGGATTTACCCAAATGTTGGAGGAAGTTAAATAATTTTTGGGTTACTTCCCTTCAAGCCCCCATTTCCAATATTTATTTTGCTTTTTAAAAATATGTTAATCGGCTGTTAAACCTCGATTTATTAAATTGTATTAAAATTTCTATAAGGATCATATTAAATATACTAACTAATAATTTAAAATATTTGAAGTGAGGAAAATTGTTATATTTAAAGAATTATTATACATATTTAAAATTGTAAAATTACTTCTTAGGGAAAAGAACCCTTATTGTGATTTGGTTGCATATATAAAGAATTGGTAATAATTGAACCTTTCTCCTATCAACGAATAAGGGGGTTTAAAAAAAATGTATTTAAAACAACCAAACCTCGGTGTAAAGGAAATAGATCATAAAATTTTGGGTTCAAAGATATCATTTCTTAATTATGTCACTTAAGTAAAAGATGCTCCCTCGACTCGAATAATAATTGCATCTCCAAAAATAACCTAATTCTAGGTCTATGCCTTATTTACTGTTTTTTTTTAAAAAATATCCGGTATTAATCGTTTTGGATTATTTTATCATGATATATAGAGCCCTGCAAAATGATTTTTCCCCAATTTTAAAAAGATTGTCCTAGCCCGACCCGAGTCCGAGCACATATTTTTAGCTCCAGCCTGACCCAAGTCCTACGAAATTTTTTTTATAATATGAGTTTAAATATTATAACATCTATGAAACAATTAAAAATTATGTGTATTTATTCATATATTTCCACCTAAATAAAAGTATATTTAACCCTCATAATCTAATTTATATTAATATAAAATTGTATTTTATTTAATTTATAAACATATAATTTTTATTCAGTTTAAAATATTAATAGTAAAGTTAAAATACAATTATATTTAAAAAATTTTGTAAATGATAAAAAATAATTTACATGATTGATGTCGAAAAAAAACGATGATATAAATGTTTATATAAACATTTCTGGAAAGGTGCATATCTAAAACAGTTATTCTGATTGACATTTTCATCAAATTTGTATTATTGAGGATATTTTTATCTTTAAGATTTATTTATTGGGTCGGGCTTCGGGTCGGACACCTCTTACAGCTAGACCCAAGGCCTATAAAAAAATTTAATGTCCGAATCCCAGGCTTGGGTTGGGCTTCGGGCAGTCCGTGCAGGCCTCTAATGGTATATATAATATTTTTTTTACTATACCTAATTTCCAAATATATGGATAAAAAGAACCAAAATTAAATTTGTTTGTAATGTTTTAAAAAAATTTTAATTATAAGAAAGTACCTAAAAATGTAATATTATTATTTTTATATTATTTTCAACAAGAAACGAGTGGCAGCACATATTTTAATTGAAATTATTAATTTTGGGAGAAAAAAAATAATACCTTTAATCAGTTATTATAATCAACCAAATATCGTGACCATGATAAACGGACATATTTTAAGGTTTTTATTGTGTTGTCCATATTGGATGTTTTTTTTTGCATCTGTGAAAAATTTGTGGATCGGCATTGTCCTAATTATTTCATTTTAATCTTTTTTTTATTATAATAAAAGATGCAATAAAATTTGTTACTGGCCGGTTAAGGCCTAATTTTTTCGACGTGTGCAATCCCAATTATGAGAGACCTTGCAAACACCAATTCTATTACAATAATGCCATCTGCACTAGGAATAATTTGCTTGCCATTAGAAATTCTAGGTTATAATTTAAAAAAAACACTATACATTCGCTTATTTTTATTTTATAATTTGAGATTTAATAATTACGATTACTTTTTGCTATAAATTAGATTGTTATTTTTTTTAAAAAATAATTCTAAAATTTTAATAGTATAATTGAAGGGATTTCTTGCTTCTACCACGGAGCAGAGTTGTTAAACGCTATTTTTAAAAGTAGCGCGCTACCGTAATAGCTATTTGTCAAAAAAAGTAGCGCACTACCGCTTTCGCTATTTGTGAAAAAAAGTAGCGCGCTATTAGCTACTTTTAAGCTACTTTTTATAAAAAAAAATTTAGAAACAAATGAAACAAATTTTTTTTATTTTTTTTTTGCTTATAATGTAAATGTATAATAAATAATATATAAAAATCAACATTTATAAATATAAAAATATAGTTAGTTTAGATTATAAAAAAATAAGCAATATAAATAAATATTTATTTTAATTTGTTGCATTTTAATAATAATATCATTTCAATATTATCATCCCCAAGTCTAGAACGACGATCAGAAAGTATAAGCTTTGCTTTACTAAATAATCTCTCGACACTAGCACTTGAGGGCAAGGGGGTATTTAATTTTATATATTAATTTTTAATATATGAAAAATTATCAAAAATATTCATTTCAATATTTTTTGTTTGAAAAAAAGATCAATTGGATTTTCTATTAAATCATCTTTAATTTCAAAAAAATTATTTGAGGATATCTTCGTGGTAGATACTCGGCAATCTATGTTTGTTGGAGTAAGATTATTCAGCTTAGCCATTAGCCTATCGCGTTGATGTTTTTATCCATATACTCCTAATATAAGCTATATTTAAAACAACACAGAAAATAACCTGCAAATTCTAATAAATCATTTGATTTAATTTTTTTTCTTATTTGCACATTTTTAACTTCAATTAAATATACTACTCTCCCTTCCCTGTTTAAGCTATTAAAGGGCAAAAATTAATATTATTAATCCCTGGTTATTGTGATTAATTCATCAGTAAATATTTTATTAATTATTGCAAATATTCATTCTTATATGTGTATGCTATGTTCTTCACAAATAAATAATGAAAACTGTATTTTATAAACTATTCTAATTTAATTGGTAATGATAATTTAAAAGTATCTTGTATTTAAGTTACTCTAATTTAGTAAAAGATACAAGAATCTTTTATCTTGTATCTTTTTGATTATTTGAAAAAGATACTAGTATCGTATCTAAGATTCATTTTTTTTAAAAGAATCTGTATCTATGTCTAGATTCTTTTTCTGGAGGACCTGCCCAACTCTGTCAATAACCATATCTTATTAAATGTTAGATACTTTACAATAAAAATTAATGAAATAATCCACCTCTGTTTTAAATTTTATTAGTTAATTTCACTAATTTTATTTATAATTTGATATAAATTATGATAATCATAATATTACTAAAATATGTGTGTATTTAATTAATAAAAATTCTGTAAATAATGTGAAATATTAAAATACTAAATATTTTATAGATTAAATAATAACCATTCCATTCTGATAAAAATCATAACTTAAAATAAATATTATAAATAAATTTGTGATATAACCTAAATGCCTTCAGGTAGTTAGACCCATATCAGTAACCATCTTGCAAACTTTATTATGAATCCTAAAAGACTTGTGGATGTCAATAATTTTATTTGCAAGTACGTCATATGTCTGGCATCCTATAATCCTTTTAAGGGCTAAGGCTACAGATCTTCTTTTTAAAGTCCTAGGGTCTAACCAATGGCCTGTGATTCCTAAATAAGCTCTAAAAATATTTAATCAGATCAATTTATAAATATAAATAAGTTTTTACCTTCTGTTATGTGTCCAACTATCTGCCGTGGTACATACATAAGATATATCTGATAACTCTACTATTAGAACATCTTTCATCACTTTGAAGTTGTCGGCTATTTTATTCATAAGTGTCTGGCGACATAAAACTGTTGTGCCAGGGGATAAAGTTTTAATCATCAGAGTAAATGATGGATTATCAACCAAAGACACTGGCTGAACTGTGTCAATAATAAAATCAACAATAACTTTATCAGCCAATTTTTGTGAAATATTGGCATGTTTATTATCAGTTAATTTGGTTTGGATAGTATTTGTCTTTTTGAATGAAGATTCTCCTATACCAAAATTTTTTATATGTTTCTCTATTTCCTTATAGCAATTGGCGTGAACAGTCTAATAAAATAAATAATATTATAATTTAAAAATAACAATTTACCTTTAGGTGTTTCTTCAGGTTATAGCTACTCGATTGATTTGATGATATATTTTTTTTACATTTTAAGCACATGAATTTGAATCCAGATTTTGTTTTAATATTTATTTAAAAAAATTTTTCAAATTTAGGGAATGGAAAAACGTTATTAGAGCTATTAAGTACATTTTCTTCCATTGAATCTTCCATATCTGAATCACTTTCAAGGATTTGGATATCCATGGACGATGCCATTTTAGATTATTAACACAGATTGAAAATATAAATTAAAAATTGAAAACATATTTAAATTTAATAATAAATTATAAAAATTATAATTAATTATGATATTATATTTAAATTTTCATGTTTATACTTACATTCATTATATTTTTAAAAGTAGCGCGCTAAAAAATTAAATAATTTTAAAAAAGTAGCGGCTATTAGCTATAGCTACCAAAAAAGATAGCGCGCTACAAGTAGCGCGCTACTTTAACAACTCTGCCACGGAATGGTCGTCATTGAAATTGAGGGCGGATAAGAGGGATAATTAGGATTTCCTTTCTTTACTGTTGATACGGGAATTGTCATTGGCTTAAAGGGGAAGAGAGGGTAGAAGTCCCTGTATTTAATTATTATATATTTAACATGACAAGGTTTTAAAGGAGTTAATAATAAAGTTTACTTTAATAAGCTGTGTCCAATAACTAAAAAATATAAATAAATTTTGAAGAAAAAAATTAACATAAGCTATTTTGATATAAAAATATAATAGTGTTCTAAATTTTTTTCGTCATTTACAAAAGTTTTTTTTTTGAAAAAAATTATAGAAATGAATAAATTTAAGAAAAAACCAGTAATATTAAAGTATGTTATTTTTCGTATTTTATTCTCGTTTTTTTTCTTTATTTTCCTTCTTTTTTTTTGTTATTTTCGTTTTTTTATAAAAATATATTGGAAGATTTCGGACAATGTTTCATAATTTTAATAATTTGCGAAAATTTATATAAAGTTTTTTTTACAAAACATTTAGGACACAGCCTTAAAAAAAATTATTATGAATTCTTACTTTTAGAAAATTTATAAATATAGACTAAATTAAATTATTAATGTTTAAAATTAAACGTTTCACTGATCTCTACCAATTCATTTTGAATCCAATAATTTAATATTGGGTTTTTTTTAAAAAAAATAAATATTTTATTAGAATAGATTTTTATTTTGTTTTTGTACATTCTAAATGCTTATGAATGATCCTAAAAGTTATTAATACAATTTAATAGTCTAATTGAAATAAATAATCTTAACCCTAGTACAGTTATAGTCATAGGAGAATATTGATTCTTATAATTAAATAATACAATATTTTTTTTTAAACCATTTTTAAGCAAAAAGGAAAGGTCAAGTCTTTATTTATAACGAAAGATTAAATAAATTTATTTTTATTTTATATAAGACTATCCTTCCCTTCTAAATATGCCAGTACCTCAATGTACAGCATGGTGTTTATAGCTCTCTACTTGCACCTAAGAGCGAGATTATGCAGGCTTCAATCTTTCAAAACATTTTTCCAAACCTGTTTTATTCTCTTATCCCTATACATTTGTTCTACACGCATCGCGGATTACCGTAACCACTGGGGAGATGTCTTGGCTGGTTTAATTCTAGGAGCCATTTTTGGAATCATTTTTGTAACAACTAATTAAAAAAATAAATAATATCTATAAATTATTAGGAAATGTTATCTTGGTCATAATATAATTATAAGTAATTAACTATTTTTTCAGTGGTGTGATAACTAAAACCCCTTACATTTCATCAAGCCCTCTTAAGAAGAGTAAAACATTCCAAATAATGATTGTATATTTTTTCAAATTAATTCAAAAATAATCTCATAATTTTCTAACTGGTTTTCTTTTATGTTCCCCCTAACTTGCTGCAATGTTTATTATGATGATTCCCTACCACTCTTTTTTAAACTAGATTAGTGACCATTAAACAAAAAAAGTTGAATATTTGTTTGATATATTAATAAGGGGGTTTTTTTTGGATAAGGTTGAGTTATATTGATGTGCTCAAGTATTTAGAAACATTTTTTTAAAAAATTAGAGTATGGAACCTGGATTAAGAAAGTGTTCTAGATCTGTGTATATTTTCAAAATGGCGGTTCTAGTTTTAAATTCTCTGGTTACGATTCTAAATTTTTATTACTAACTTTTATCAGGTTAGGCTAATAAAGTTATATGACATTTTAATTTTTATTGATAATGCCTAATCTGCGGTAGTGTCTTAAAAATTTGGCGGGGGGTGGGGTTGCTATTTTTGAAAATATATTTTTAAAAATATGAAATATATTGAATAAATTCTTCTTTTTTTTAACAGGCAAATTCTGCTGTTAATAGCATATATTCCTTCCTAGATAGGAAGATTATAACTAGACTAGATTCCGCACTACCCGATTCAAACTATCAGGGATCGCCTGCCAATCCTCCTTATCAAAACAATCCCAATTTCCCAACTAATAACCCACAACCAATGACTATTTCTTCTCCATCTAGATTTTAATGTGAAGGAGGGGGAAAAGTGAAGAGGAAAATTAATATATCATTTTTATTATAAATTAAACTTGTCATAAAAACATTTTCATGTGTACACGTAAACAATTAAATTCAAAATCAGAATCTCGATAATTTCTATTTTGTTTTTAAATAAAAAATCTTCGACGCGGAAATCTTATAAAAATTTTGTCCAGGATATAAAATTTTTATAAATTTTTTTTTTAAAGAGACGGAAAATTATAGCTACCTCTTGGGATTTCATATATGGTTGCTTTCACCCTGTTTAATTTCAATTTTTAAATTAACATTATATACACATATAATATACATATCCTTTTTGTAGATTAATTATTTCAACTCATATTTATTATCTTTTATTTATGTTATTATGATTAAGAAATTGTATTATTAAATAAATACACAGCTTTTTATTTTAGTTTTGTTAGAAATTTTGACTTAAGTAAAATAATATATATGCCATAACGGGATATGAAATACATGGGAATTCGAAATCTTTCAATTATAAATTGAAGGGGAGAGAGTATTTAAATTTATATCTAATGTGTCCGCAAATGTTCTAGCCAAATGAAAATATCTTCCCGATTGTGAATTTCTGGCAATTATAGTAATTCAATCAAATTATAACATTTAATTATTATTTTTTTTATGAATAAACATTTATGAGAGGTTAATTACTTTTTTTAAAAGTAGTTTTAAGAGTTAGTGTTTGTTCATTGTTAAAATGATTAATGCCACGTGCAGTAATTGCATAGAGCCAACTCAAAATTACTAAAAAGTGTTCAAAATTTTATTAAAATAAAATGTAATTTTTATTTTGTTCGCAAAGTAGCTATTTGTTTAAAACTATTTGCTTAATTTCACCGGGCTTCGCAAAGAAGATTTGGCTATCGAGGTTCGAAAACAAGACTGGAATAACATAAGATAGATTCATATACTTCTAACATCATTCCAAATCAGTAAAAAAATGCCATTTAAGTTTGTATATATAATTAAAGTGGGACATCGTATCGGGAGCGATACTTACCATTCTAATACTATAATTATAAGGATTTAAAAAACATTTGATGTGTCAGATTCAGCCATTTTCAGTGCTGTTATTGAGAATTCCTTGATAATGCCCCTATCGCCTTGGCCGTAAGAAATCGAAAATTTTCAAAATATTTTTTTTGAATAGAAAATATTGATATTTTTAATATTAATTTAAATATCTGATCAGTTCTATCGAAAATATCGGATCGGGGATATCTGTTGATCGGCACAACCCTATATATTCTTATAGGTAACCTTGCGGCTATACCACAATTCTATTATAGAAGTTTAAAAGCATTTTAATATAATTAGTTTTAAATTTTGATATGGTCACTTAAAATATGAAACAACACAATAGAATAAAATTTTTGTATGAAAACATTAAAAACCGTTGTTAAGGAAGAGCAAAAATATACTCAGTATGCCAAAGACTAATCGGAGGGTACCTAGTACTTTAAGTCATAAAACAGCCCACCCAATGTTGTAGAAAAAATTTAACCCGCCCAACACGTCCATAATTTTTTTAAAAAAATATACCCTCGCCCATTAATCTAAAATTCCTTACCCGCCCGCCCATTAGTCTATAATTTTTTACCTGCCCACTTATTATTTATAAGAAATTTTTAACCCAAGCCCGTTATTATAAACTTTAATTATGGCCATTCTTTCAATTTTTTAAGCATCTAATAAAAAAAAAATTCACTATTACACCTCTACAAAAAGTTTTTAGGAAATTATTATATTAAGCATAAAAAATATTCAATTTAAATTATGGATAATTTATTTGATCAAATAAAATATTTATGAAAATAATACAAATATTTAATTGATATTATATGTAATTAATAATGCAAAAATAATAATGAATCGACATTTTCTGTCAAACACCATCTTCTTTGTTCTAAAAATCTTCCAGCAATCCTAAATCCTCGTTCAGAAGAAGCGCTAGTTGCAGGAATTGCCAATATTTTTCTTGCTTATCTTGATAGCTTTGGCAAATCTCTTGTCGTTTCCACCAAAGTAGTTTTAAATATACAAAAAATATTTTAAGAAAAAAGTTTTTATGATACCAAAAAAGAACATTTTAATTATTAATATTTACTAAAATGATTTAAAAATTTTTTAACCCGCCCGCCCATTGTTTAAATTTATTAACCCGCCCATAGTTTAAAATTTCAGGCAGCACCAAACTGTAAATATTATTACCATAGAATCCTTCCGAATCTATTCCAAAATCTTGATATAGAAAAAATTAAATATTGGAAGATTTATATTATGAGGATTTAAAGTATCCCATGATGCATTATTAGCTGAAAGCAAACTATAGTATAAAGGCTAAATATGGTTGATAATGTTCCAAAAAATGCTGTAGATGCTTCGCATAATTTCAAACAAATTTTATACTATTTTACTAATATACTAATTATTAAATATTACTTCTACTAATGAAAGAACAAGAATAATAAACATACATAAGAAGTGGTGTTGTTAAATGGCTCAATTTGAGTCGATTTTTTAAAACGGCTAACTCAATATTTTAGCCAGAAAAACATTGCCTAAGCCTAGAGATTTTGCTAATAGATTTGTGCCATGAGCCAAATCTCCAGGCTTGCGTGATATTTCTCTGATTAAACTATTGAGTTAGCCAATTTAAAAAATTCGGCTCAAATCGAGTGATTTAACAACATTACGAAGTACAATTTCTGAAATATACAAAGGGAGTTGAAACCAAACGTTAATGTAATCGTTGAAATTGACTCAATCTAAAAGAAGACTGAACGTGAACAGAGTATATATTTACTTAATTATATTTTTCCCCATTTTTTATAATACTTTGTAAGTTTATATTGATATTCATTCAATAATTCTTCAAAATATTGTGCATTTAATATATATTACCCAACATTTTATTTAAAACAAAAATTTAAGTTTGTTTATCAAATTTTAAATGTTTAAAAAATTTATATTATTTTTACAAAGTTCTTTTTCGACATTTATTTTATAGTAATCATTATTTAATATTTGAATTTATGTATTAGAAGTCAATATGTCAATATTATATAGTCACTATTCCTAATAAATTCCTGAAACTAAAGATAACCTTAAATAACTTTTAGAATAATTTAAAATATTTTTTTATATCCCCCTCCTCTTTCACTTATAGAAAATTCCTACGTTCGCGCATGGTATGACTATAATTTTATTTTATTAAAATAAATATTTTTGATTTTTTTTTATGTAAATAGAGATATAATAATTATAAAAAATTGATTTATGAAAAAAATAATTTTTGACAAAAAGTGGATATGGAATAACCTAATTTTCAGGCGGCCACCTTTTAATATTCTAAAAAAGGATCTCATGAAATTTTAATTTAATGTTATTGTTTTTCAAAAATTTAATCAGATGCCCAGAAAATTGGTTTTTGTTTAGTAAATGGCCTGACTGGATTTATCATTAGGCATTATATTAATAAATTCACATTTTATTGATTTTAATATTCAAATTTAAAAATTAATAATTTGTTATATAATTATAATTAAATTGCATTTCAAGGATTCTACACCGTTCCGCCGCCATAAAAAAATAGGCGGCGAACTTGGATGCGTGCCACATTTTATTTGGCGACTTTTCCAGCAAGGATAAAATTTGCAGATGGCAACGGCGTGAGCTGACTTCGCAAAAGTCTAGTCAATCTACACTCTAATTGGGGAGTAACAATAATATACCCTATATAAAATTCATAAAAATCTGGCGTACTCTAACAATCCCGATGAGGAATATTGTGATAATCTTTTATCCACATTACCATATTTATGGCCAAATATATCCTATTTCAAAAAATACTAGGTTTAAGTATTTAAATAAATGTTACCTTTATACATTATGTGGTTAACAGATAAATTAGTCATTTGAGAATATTCAGGTAAAAAATAATTTGAATAATTTTTAAGGAATACTAGTATATCTAATATTCTCCTTGTTTATGATCTTGTCTCTTAAATTTGAGAGTATTATATTTGTTTGTTAAAAACGGTTCAATTCGCGAGACATCTAAAATCATAAAATGGCTTTTATCAATAACCGCATCTGTAAAGTTGGATATGTATGAGAATTCATGAATCCCAATATAATTATATAAAAATGATGATATAATATATAAAATAAATTTAATATATTAGTTATATATATAAATAGAGATATATATTTTTTATAAATCAGATTGTTGATGAAAAAAAGAAAATATATGATGGACAAAATTAATATTTCAACCTTTGAAACAATTTTTATTGGGTAAATTCGAATATACTTTTCTTAAAAAAAAAGTGAGTTAAGGAAAATTTTTTAAAAAATTTTAAAAATTTTTTAAAACCTAATAAAATGCATAAGGAACTTTGTAAATTTTGTTTTCCAAGAGGAGACAAGTGCTCTTTATTACAGCGCCCTCCTTCTGAACACCTATGATTTTTAATATGCTCTATGAAGTACAGTATATTATTCAGTATTGATTTTCGATAACAGTATATTTTATTTATTGTCACCCAATAATTAAACTCATTCCATCTCATGCCCATATCATTTACATAATTTTATATACAAGTGGGGAAAAAATCGATCATAATTTTTTTTCCTTTTATAAATTGTCCCCCAGAATATAATAAATTTTAGTAATTCATATAATTAAAATAAATCTCCAATAGTATAACAATTTTTCTCGTGGAAACGAAAACCATTAATTATGATTGTGAAATTTATAGAAATTTTTTATTTATTTCTTTTCTTTCCTTCTTTATCTTTTTTCTTTCCTCCTTTATTTCTTCTTTTTTCTTCTTTATTTCTCTTTTATTTTTACGACTTTACGTGTAATATAATGTTTGTATCAATAAATTTTATTTGAGGATGGCCAAAAAATAGATGAATTAATTATTAATAATAAAATTACTCAAATGGCCCATCTTCGATGAGATAATATAATTATCGTAAAAACAAAGTCTATTTATATAATTTAATATTATAACATAAAGTGCGATAAAATTATGTATATGATTCCATTGTGAAGAATAGTTAATTATCGTAGATTGAATCAATTAAAAGATTTTGTTAACAATTGATTCTTATCTGTCCCCCTCTAAAATTATTTTATATAAAATATATAAATAATATAAAAATCAATTTGATAAATTATAAAATGATGATTATCTTCTAAATGACATAAAATTTTAAATATCGAATATAAGGAGATATAAATTTATTTGGCCATTATTACTTTATCATCAAATGAGGCCTTTCTAAAATCATCCAATTTTTTTTAGTAGTTAGATGGATTTAACTTAAAAATACTCATATACAATTTAGAATTGGATGATAATAAACCTGTTAAATATTCGTAAGCTGTGCTCTAATATCTGATTTTTTTTAAAAATATTTCTGATATCTTAAACATTAATAGTCCAAAATTAAATTTATAATTATTTTTTTAGAATTTGGATCTTAAAAATGTATTCTAATGAAATTGACTCAAAATTCAATCAAATTTATAAAGATGGTATTCACAAGAATCTACACAAGAATACTCTTAATAGGTCGGCAAGCACGCGTAACAAGAAACTGAATGTGAGTAAAAGATCTGGGCTTGTGTCTTACACAGAATTAAAAGCTTCGAAAGAAACTAAAATAGCTAGTGGAGATAAAGGAAGACCCAATAGTATTTCCAACATCAATAAGATCGAAGATTCTTTACCTAAAAGAAAAATTATAGGTGAGCCACAAAAAATTCCCATTTTGTCAAAGAGAAGAACTCTTATCGATATAAATAAAAATGATCCGGGGATTCAAGAAAGGGAAGACCAAGATTCGAATAACAAAAGGGATAAATCAGAGTCAACACAATCTTTCCCCACATTTTACCCCCTCCTTTTAAAAACAACTACGACTTTAAAGGATAAGGCCGGTAGGATAAAAATGCGACATTTGACGGAAGATATGCAAGAGGAAATAACAAATAGTGCCAACAAACAAACATCGGAAACTCTCGAAAATTATATCTTAGAAAGAAAAACTTTAGAAAAAAATAATGGAAGCTCCGATAAAAATATTTTAAGCAAAATAAAGTCAACAGCCTCTAATAGACAAAGCTTGATAACTATTTTTCCAAAATTAATAGCTAAACCTGAATTGGTCAAATTTCCTTTTTATCCGGAATCAGTGGAACAGATTCAATCTATATGCGAAACCTCAATCCCTGTATCCACTTACCCAATCTCAAAAAGAATATCTATTCCTATGAAATCCAATGTTATAATAGAAAAATTCGTCACTAGAAGAGCAGCACCTAATTCTTTTTCGGAACAAAATTTTGAGTTCAACTCAAAGCAATCCCTACCCAAAAGACTGATATCAAGCATATTACACATATCCCAAGATAAATCTTATGCTCAAAGTCCTGGCACACTCTCCAACATCCTATCCTTCATAATCAAAGAGAGAAGCAGTTTTCAGAAAAAACATAGCACATGTGTGAGCCTAAAAAACATAACTAGAACTGACTCACACATACCAAGTCACTTTAAAAATGTAGATGAGACCATTGAAAGCCTTACAGATCTCAAAAATTCTTTTGATGTCTCAAATAAATTTGGGTCTAAGCAAGACCTACAATTTAAATATCTCAACGGTCATAATTATAAAACAGACTCCCCTTGTGATAAAGGCAATATAAAAATGAAGGTAGAATCTACCAATGATAAAGTTTACAATACAAATATTAACAATGTAGAAACTCAGTTGGCCATCTCTATGCCTGACAGCAAGTTACCAGAATATCAAACCGAAGGTAGTCAAGGCCCTTATTACAAATTTTTGCATGGAGTATCGACTTTCTTATTTTCTCATGTGGGGATATTGTTACTCTTATTTTTCTATACAATAGTTGGGGCCCTTATATTTCAGGCAATAGAAGGACCGCTTGAATCGGAAAATGTTAATGAAGTTATTCATTTCCGAGAATTGACGGCTCTAGATTTAGCGATTCAAATCAAAGTTACCGGTTATAAAGGATTTTCTTATCTTTTTGTGAATGTAATTTAAAATTGGTCTAATTTAAGAACTAATGATATCAAGATTTAAGTTAGATTTAAATAATTTCTCATCTTAACAAAGTTTAATAAATAGTTAGTCAATTTAGAGATAATGTTGCTAGATTCCCAAGAGATCAAATAGGGCAATAAATTCTCATGGCATGATTTAGTCAATTATTTGAATGTATTTTATTAAATATTTGTACACTATATATTTTCCCAAATTATGAATATTAGTTATTAAATCAAGCCTATTTGTATAATTTTCCCAGTGAAATGACCAATGATTTAGAGTTTAGATATTATATGATTTCTCTTGCTAATTTAATATCCGAAAAAAAAATTATAAGGTTAGACTCGAACCTCATCATACTTTTCAATTTTAAGTGTATTCATTATAGTGTATATAATATATATTTTTCAGGTATAGATTATATGGATCTTGAATACACGATTGAAAGAACCCTCAAAAAATTTCAAGATAAACTCATAGGCTTCGTAGAACGAGGTTTCGATGGGCAGGAGGATAAAAACATGAAAAAGTGGTCTTTTGCTGGTGCCTTATTGTACTGTGTCACAGTTATAACCACAATAGGTATATTTAATGTTTGGTAGGGATGCATTAAATGGTTAATGGCGTAAACTGGGCACTCACTTAAATTTTTTATCAATTGGACTTGGGCCAATTTCTCGTCAAATGTGTATATTTATGGCATGTGTTGTTAAACGACTCGTTTTGAGCCGATTTTTAAAAACGGCTAACACAATATTTTACCAAAAAAATATTGCCTAAGCCTCGAGATTTCTATAATATATGTCTTGACCTTTGTCCCTTTTATGAGCAAAGTCTTCACTTGCGTAATATTTTTCTGGATAAAATATTGAGTTAGCCGTTTTAAAAAATCGGCTCAAAACGAGCCATTTAACAACACTAGCATGCACCTTATCTATGTCTCTAGGTATATATTTAATTGAGAAAGCCTAAAAATAGCTTTAGTGCCTCTTTCTAAAAAAATTCACGATATGGTGTAGAAATCACCCATTTAAATTACTTATATTTTATATAACTTAAATATTATCCTTAAGGTTAACAATATTGTTCACAATTTTTATTAGAGGCTTACACGTCTTATTTAATATAAATGGGTATTTTTTATCTAGCCATATTTTAAGTGGCCATAAAAGTTATGCTTAGATGAGTTTGATTAATATTGAAATAAGCATGTTTAACGTGAGAGGAGAGCGGAGATAGTGTTATCTCGGGTCAGGTAATATCTTAAATAATTTTTTAAAAAACTTTACTATTTGAAATTTAAACAATAAAAGCATTTATTATTAAATTTTTTTGTAACTTGCAATTCTAAATGATAAAGTAATCTCAATTTTATAAGCATAAAAGGCAATAGTTAATTTAATATTTAGATATTGATTTATAATTAAATATGAAAACCTGGGCAGGTTTTGATGGGGTATATATTAGTCATTTTTAAGCAGGGATTTATTTTTAATAAAAAAATCTAACTATATTTATAAGAACACAAGAATCCAAGAGTTTGTATAGGGTCAAGAATGAATGAAGATGGTTGACTTATATATTGTAAATTATGACAGTTTTAAGTGCCAACAAATTCGGTGATATATATTACCGATGACCTTGGTACATTTAACATATTTGATAATGTATTTTCAATCCTTATGGGTCTGCAGATCACGACCCGGCCCGTAAGCGGTCCGAATGGGTTGCGGGCAGGGTCTATTTTTCAAAAATGATTTCGGTTCAGGTTTAATATTTTTAAATTTCAGATTGGGTCGGGCTTAAACTTATATAATTATATTTTGTCAAATTAATATATTTTAAAATTTTTGCAAGAAAAAGAATAAAACTACGTTAAAATATTTTGGAAAATTCGCTTTAATTATTTGTTATAACCCTAATTTTTTCTGGAAAATTTAACCCCGGTCTTCCCTATAATTAAGATTCCAATTTTAATTTTTTTTATGATAAACTGAGATGCTAATATCAATTAAATTAGTGTATAATTAGGATTTGAATATTTGTAACAATTGTTAGCTCACTAGTACTGCACATATTCTATATTATAGTATTTCATATTTATAATCAAATTCCTAAATAAGGTACTATAACCATTTAATACAAGATATATGGCACGTCAAAGGATGTCAGGTTTTGATTGCCCCGAAATTTTTTTACTAATAAGCTATTATAGTTAAAACTTTGTTTAATAGATTAAGAATTGGGCTAATACATTAATATCAAATTAATTCGATTAAACTTAATTCTTAACCCCTTTTTAAACAAAAACGAAATGTCAGCATACATGACATTTTGAAATAATTTAAAATGATCAAAAAATTTACATATATATTTTCTCTTTCGCATAGAAATTTTCCTCTTTTGATAGGGTTTTTTACTATTTGTATGGGAAACTCTGTAATTATATTTATAAACCTAAAACACCGTATCACTTTGTTTACGATAAATTAGGTGTATCTATGCACATTTCATTTATATAAAATATAAAGATAATATAATGAATAATCTTGATTTACATTTATAGTTTTTATAAACTCTAGTGACTTTTATTTACAAGGATATGGAAACATTGCCCCCATTTCGAATTGGGGAAGAATTTTGACGATTTTATATGCTCTTATTGGAATTCCTCTGCTGGTTTTATTCCTTAGCAACTTCGGAGCTTTACTAGCTGTCACATTTAAGTGGTTATGCAAAAAAATATCTGAAAAATTTCGAGGTCCTCAATTAAGGACAAGATTATCATCATATAATAGCGAAGGTGTTGAAGGAGAGATTAAAGGAAATGGATCCAACATCGAAATAAATTTAGAAAAAGTAAGCAAAGATTTGGAAACTCGAATAAATGATGCAATGCACAACCCGAATGAAATAAAAAATTTCGATAACACAAAGATTATCGCGTCTGTAATAAATAACGATGACCTCAGTTCTGATAAGCAATCGATTAAAAAATTTTCGAAATTATCTTCCATAAAATCAAATAATAATGAAGTAATAGAAAATAAATTAGATACTCCAACGAATGTTACTATTACAGAAATATCTCCTGCAGATTCTTCCAAAGATTTTCAAGTTCCAGTTTGGGCATGCCTTTCTCTAATGTTTGGTTACCTATTGTTAGGGTCTTTATCCTTTTCTGTCTGGGAAGGATGGGATGTCATTACTAGCTTCTATTTTTGCTTCATAACCCTTAGCACGATAGGTATAATTTGTTTACGATTCTAATTTTATATAAACACTTTAAAAAGGTTTCGGAGATATTGTGCCTGGTGCGGAACTATTCTCAGCGAGCGCCATCGAAAAATTCGTTTTTGTCACTATCTATATCATTTTTGGTATGGCTCTTATGTCAATGTGTTTTAACCTCATGCAACAAACTATAGTAAAAACGCTGAAAATATGGGGAAATCGTATAGGATTATTATGATTGCCACTGCTTCTTAACCATTTTTCTAAACTCTATTTTAATCATAACATCGTTTATTAATAAAGTTATTAATATCATATTATAATTTCTTAAATTATATGCTAATATACGGTTTTGCCATCTGGACATTTAATTTTCATGGCCCAGTTTTCTAAAAAATAAATAAAATTCCCACCCCCGCCAAGATTATTTTTTAAATTATTTGACCCACCTCAGGTTTTCAAAATCATCGGTCCGTTCCCTTTTTTCAAAAATATGGAAGTTGCAAATATGAGAAGCGAATAAATGTTATTAATTTTTAACTATTGATACAATTTAAATATAATATATTGGATCCCATTTGGTTTAAAAAAAATCTGGTTCAGCTTAAGCTTTAAAAATATCTCTTTATGGACCGCGATTCGATAAAGGCTGCAGGTTTCTGTTACTACTAATTTTAATTTATTTAGTATTATAGATTACATTTAAACTATGTATAAGATAACATATTTATAAATAAAATTCAAAATAGATATAAGAATTTAAATAAATAAATAAAGGTTAAAAAATAATCATCCTGCTATACGTATAGTTATCAAATATTTAAAAAAAATGCATATTTAAGGGACCCCTTAAATAACTAAAATCCGGCGGTGTCCTGTTCAATATCCGAAAACTCTGCACCCAAAATGATGATTAATATTTGATTAATTCTGCTCATTTTAAAAATCCAATATACAATTTCAACTTTTGAGTTAATTTTTTTTATTTTACTTCATTCATAAATATTAAAAATTCATATCAGTTAATGCTTTTGTCGAAAGCATACATTAATTAAATATAATACCTGAATATATAAAAGTCGATAATATATTATATAATTAAAAAATTTAACGATAGAATATTTTCAGAGGATTTTCAACAACTTTCCAATAACTTTATCTTTACAATTTTAAAATTCGCATTTGATATCTAAATATTTTGATTTAAAAAAAATAGTTAATTTTTCAAAATCAAATTATGCACAATTATAAATATAAGCCATATAATAATTAGATTTGAACGAGATTTTAGACCGGAGATACATTTACATATAAATATTAGATTTTAAAATATCATTTAAAAATTTTCTCTTAAAAAATATTTACCACTTTGTTCAAGCAATTTACCCTTCCAGGATGCTTCCAAATTTTGAACAAATTTTTCAAATGTTTGTATACTAGGGTATAGGCTGGTCTTTTTAAAATCTTTGATAACTTATTTTTTATGAATATTTGAAAAAAATATATTCCTGGAATCATTTTCCTAAATAGGGAAAGGAAATTGGAAGGAAAGGACAAAATCCCGAATGCGCTAAAATTTAACGCAACCCGGGCACTAAAAAATATGCTAATTTTGCATTTTATAAATAGGAAAATATTTTTAAAAAAATTCACTTATATTTTTAATCATTTATGAAAGACATTTAAATGATTATACTAAAATTTCTGAACTTATAATAGCAAGAAAATAATTATATTAATAACTTTTGAGTTTCTTGGGTTGATTTCCCGTGCTATCATCCACATTATTTTCCATATCCTCGATAATGGCATCTTCATCCTTGGAACTCATTTCGTAAGCATTAATTTCGTCGCATAATAGACTTGAATAGTAATATTATAATTTTTAAAGGTTTTAAAAATTTTTATAAAATTCTCTCATAAAAATCAAGGGTTCGGATTACACTAAAATATGAAACATTATTATTAAAAATTGAAAAATTCGTATTTGTACGAATAATAAAATCATACTTAAACTGATGGAAACATATGATGGCAAGCTATGATTAGATAAAAAAAAATTATTAAAATAAAAATGATTTATACATTATGATTCAATATATCGAAAATTTTAACTTATATAGTATTATAAAATAATATAAATTTGAATATAAAATAAAATGAAATAAGTTAGTAAAAATCACGATATGTTTTATAGAAGGTCATAACTAGCGATATATTTTATAAAAGATTTTTCGAATATTATAATTATTATAAATTAATTTTATATTATATTTTTTACATTTATTTTAATTTTATTTAATATTTATATGTCATTTTATTTAACATCTATAACAATCCCCTCTCTGAGAAATCCATTATATTTGTTTTCCGCGATCGTCAAATTTGTTATAGCAATTAATTTCGTCGGTGTTATCGCGAATTAGTCGTTGGGTTAATTTGTTGTTTATCGATTTTGTTTTATGTCAATTAGCGGCATCAATATTTTTTAGTACTAACTTCATCGTCGACGTCATCTTGATCATCCGTATCGAAACAATTAGACAATAATTTTTTTTTATTTGCATCATCGTGGTATTTATTTAGTTATCATAAGAATAGTTTGTTATTATCATCAAGTTTATATGATTTAATTTCAATATTTATGAATATTTCTATCTATTCTAAAAAAAATTAATTTTCATATATTTTATTTTAAATATCATTAAATTATGAATATCTATTAAATCTTTATTTTAAATATCATCAAATTACGAATATCTATAAATCTTTATTTTTACTCTAGATATTTTATTTTTTAAATTAATTATTTTAAATTTTTCATAACATTCCCCTCCTTGAAAATCCTAAATCTGAGGTGTAATAATTAGGTTTAATCGAAAATTACAAACTTGGAATTGTCTATTAGTCTTATATTTTATCATTTTTGGCATAAATATTATCATATCAGCACTATATTAATACATCATCATATAGGAAAATTAAATTCATTCATGATCTAAGTTATATAAGAATCATTTTTCACCTGAGTTGGTCTGCATTTTCGTCATAAACGTTAGCTTTCAGGAAAATATCATCCAAGAAATTTTTATCTTTAATTATTTCAATATCTAGTCCAAGAATTAAATAGTTTTCATCTATAGCTTGCCAAGTGTCCATATGTTTAAATTAAAGTTTATATTTAATTTTTACCTAAGAATTTTGATTTCCCTGGTAAAAAAATATCTGATTTTTTTTAAAATATATTTACTAATAAATTATCACCGAAGATGGAAACACATGGCGGAAAGGAGGATTAAACAAAATATTATATTAAAATAAAATGATTTTTACATTATGATTCAATATATCTAAATAGTATAACTCTATCCAAAATTTCTCGACATTTTTTTTAGATAGTTTATAGTATGTCTGGGTAACTACTTGTGAGAAATACTTGCTAGTGGGAATTTGATCATTTACACAATAATCTTATAAAGACGGTATCATCTATTATATAGATGGGTTGATGGCCAATGGGCATCATCTCTCTTATAAATTTAGAAATAATGAGGGATTTGGGATCAAATTTCTTACAAATAGGCGCCTGGGAATTATGACTTTTTTTATAATTATACAATTCTATTCATATAAAACAAGTCCGTAATATTTATAAAATAAATCAAATTATAGCCAATATAAGATTAACCAACCTATTGAAAACAATAGGAACTTAATTTTTAATATTACTCCCCTGCAAAATTACATAAAGTGGAGATGGAATAATCTAATTCTCAGGCGACTAAATATTATATTTAAAGATTGTTGGCTTCCTAATTTTTAAAAATACGAGTTAATTAGATTGTTGATATTTTTTTTTGCCAATAATTCTTTATAAGATGCATTACGGAATCGTTATAAATGCTCGCGAATATTGCTAGTAATGAATGCATTTTTCATAAATTAGAGCAAGAGATAACGTGCTTTAGAGCATAACAAATAAAATAATTTAATATTATAAATTATTCTAACAAATAATAAAAAAAACAAAAAAAGAATTGATAATATGTAGTGCATTCGTGAACGAAGTTCGTTTTTTTGAAAAAAATGATGAACGGCGTTCCTTTTATATTTAACGAACTTTGAACGTGAACGCGTTCCTTTTTTATAACGAACGCGTTCGAATTTAACGTTCGTTCAATTTTAAAAATATTTTAATTTTTATTTATTTGAAAAATTTAATATTTCCGAATTTTTTTAAAAAATGTATTATTTATATTTTTTAATCGGCTGTGTATTTCCTTTTCACATTTCAATTTTTTAACACATAGTTTATTAATTTGAATATTATTGTTTATATTTTAATTTAATAGATTAGCATAAGCATGGATATTATTATTTAATCCTCATCATCTGATTCTAAAAATCTAAAATCAGAGGTATCATTTCTATGGCCTGATAAATGTTTTACATTAACATCCTATATTGAAGGAACTAATCCAATGCTTACCAAGTGTAAAATGTGGCCAAAAATTATTATATTGTCAAAATCTTCAGGTTCCAATTTAAAACGACATTTGATTTTAATATTAATTATTTGATTTTATATGATATAACTAAGTTAAATCATTAAATTGGAAGAAATAATGCATTTGGAATATTTGACCCCAACAATAACGATAGTTATTTTAAAATTAAAAAAATTAGTGGCCTCAAATATGGTCAACCATTGATAGACGCTGTATTAAATGGGATTAATAAAAGGTATTAAACCTATCATTCTCAATTAATTATATATATTTTATTATTTTAAAGATTTGAACATATATATAAGGATCAATATGTTCTTTCTGCAATTATACATCCAGCATTCAAACTTCAATGGCCATAGATAAAACTTCCACAGAACGAACCTATTAAAAATAAACTTATAGCATTATTGAAAAAAATGCTTTAAAAACACTAGGGAACAATAAATTTAGAGATACCCTTTTTTTTTGTCGAGAGTAAAGAATGGATTGGAGGATAACTTATCTCAATTTTTTGCAAATAACAAAACAATATGTTTTTAATTAATTCTCCACGTTAAAAGAGCTGCTTATTATGTATAATACCGCAATCCCCTCATCTGCCCATGTAGAGCGCGTTTTTAGTATAGCTAATGCCGTATTAACTGCCAAGTGTTCCTGCCTATCAGATAAATATTTTGAAAACAATTGTTATTAAAATTTAATAAAAAAATTTTTTTATAAATAAAAATATCTTTTTATTAGCTGTATTATATTTATAATTATATTTCAAAAATAAAACTATATTATTTTTTAATATGGCTAAAATATATTGTATTAAAAAATATAAGTTTATTTATATTAAATTAAAAAAAAATTATTATAAAATTTTGAACGGTTTTATGAACGTGAACGCGTTCCTTTTTTTTGAACATGAACTTGAACGCGTTCGATTTTTGTCAATGAACGTTGAATGCGTTCGATTTTTTTAAAAATGTTTACAGCACTAATAATATAGGATCTGTCGTTTAAATAGAAATATCCCCAATTATAAAAAACGGTAAGCATCAGGATGGATCTAATATTTAATACCCGATAAACCCTTATAAAAAATCGCAAATAATAATAACTACTCAATAGTGGGGACTTTCAAAGGCTTGAATTCGTCAATGTTTTCGATATCGATTGGCACGCACACCCGCCCTAAATAGAAGAGTTTTACAAATTGTTTATGTTTCATAATCAAATAAACATGTTATATTTTGACTATAATAAATATGTGTTGTCAAAAATAAGGTTTAAAGTAAATAAGGTAATCGGTTATTTTGTTACTTTTTCGGGTAACGAGTTACTTCTGACAATGCCTAAACTGATATATATTTATAAACTCCTTATCCTGCGTAATATAGGTATTTTTGAGAAAACAATAACGTAAAATGAAAATGAATCGTAATTTTGTATCGTAGGCTTCATTCAAAGCCAAAATTATTACTAAGTGTAAAAACGTATTAAATTTTTAAAAACAAACCAAACCTGTCCAAAATTTGCAAAAAAATATTTACTAAAATTCTTGAATGAGGGAGAACTAAAATTTTTTATATTTTTCCCGAGCAATTTTATTTATTTAAATGAATATGTCTAATATGTTATAAAAAAGTAAGAACATATATTATTTTTTAATATAAAATTAATAGAGGCGATATGTAAAACTATGAGGAGAAAAAGGTAGCTAGAAGTTATAAAATATATCATGAAAATAGCTAGATTCTAGGCAAAAGAACAAGGCAATGTTGGAAAGTATGGGAGTCGTAAGGAAAAAATTAATTTTGATTGATCAATAATTCTAGAAAAACTAAGCTTTACTACCGAAAGAGGGTGGAGTAGAGCAGGCAATGGGTATGAATGTGTAAGAAAGATCAATGGAACTATATTCGATATTTTCTGAGATTCGGCAAGTGAAGGCATCGGCGTTTTGGTGGTATGGGGCATTTGGATCAATGCAGGTGAAGTTCCAAAGCAGAAGCTGGTCCCATGTCATGGGAAACAGCCTCGGCAAAATCGATAGTGGAGGCATTACTTGCCCTTGCTTTCAACACTGATTTCACAATGTTTGCATTCTTAAGGAAAAAAAAATTTCGCAATAAAGGTTTAGTACAGGAGTAAATTTTAGTTCATCTGCAAAGAATTCGAGATTATTAGAGGGAATGATTTCCAATAACCCGTAACTAGATCCTTTATTTAAGTTATGAAAGACTATAAGATCGTCATCAAGAAGGTTCGCTTTTAGATAAGCAGTGAAGCCTTCGTTGAGGAGAATCCGAGTTGAAGACCGTTGAGTGTATGAAGGAATGTCCGCCCATTTCAGTTCTTGCAAATTAGATCATTGCACTTGGTATGTCGTGGGAAACGACCTTGACAAAATCGACAGTGGGTGGAATGTCTTCCCTTACTATCAACATTGGTTTCACAATATTTAGATTTGTAAGGCAAAAAAATTTCGCAGTTAAGCCTTAGTCCAATAGGAAATCTTAGCTCAGATTATGGTTGGATAAAATAGAGCAGTATATTTGGCAGACCTGTTTTTTGTGCTCGTTGAGCAAAAATCTAATCATTGATTTCTGATGATAGCAGAGATTCATTGAATTAAAAATGGCGAGAAATAGCAGGAGTGAAATTATTGATTAAAAGTGGGAAATGAATGTTATATTTGTGGAAGAAAATGAGAGAGACGAATAGAATGCGTTATAAAATTATTGATTCGGCCAACGTCCTTCGAGGCGATTAGTGGGCCAAACATGAGTGTTCTGATAAATTAAGTAACAAACCCATGAGAGACTTTATTACATATTGTCAGGTTTTGTAGGATTGGGACCTGGGTGGCTATGAGGGGCAATGTAAGGTCCTGAAAGATGAACATAATAGCCTGACAATAGTTGGGGTTAATAGCATAAAATATTCTTGCAAACCTTAGCTGGGATAAAATCAGTTGGAAATGTGTCGGGTGGTGGAGGCGATATGTGATCACTCAAGGTTATTGCAAGTCTTTATTTTTTTATCGGTTTAAATTATTTTTGAATATTTACTACTGATAATGGTAATATTATATTTCTAGATATAAAAAATTTATGTATATATATTTATGAATAAACGATAGCTAATTTTTTATGCTCTCTTTACATATATAACAATGGTTGGTTTACTTTTTGCAGCCAAAACACTAAATCATACATAATGAAAAACGTTAATTAATAAAATGTAAGTTCCCGTCGAGTTTAATAAGTATTGAGATTAAAAAGTTATCCTAAATTCTATGGAATTCCAGGTTTTCAATTTTTTTTGCATTTATTATTGTTTTTTAAAGAACATTATTAGTAATATTTTATCAACCTGTTTTAGGGTGGACACTAAAAGGACTCTTGAGCAAGTGATTTAATCCAGTAGTAACATTAACGTCTAGTCTAGGATAACAATATTGTAACATGATTTCTTGTCGACATTTGGAAGATTTCTGATATTTACCCTTCAGAAATTTAAATTAGTTAGAAATTATAAAAAATATATATCTATATTAACATAAATTATTAACATATTTAATTTACTAAATTTAAAAATCGATGCATATAACGTTATAATTTTAATCGTGAGATTAACCGAGAAAAGATCTATAAAAACCACGTTGAGTAGCAATATTAAAATAGCCTATTTTTAAAAATACATTTATATGAAGTAGTGAAGATCACCCTCGGATCGACCGGATTATGGTCTTTAAAAAAGATCTATCCAGACCGTGGTCCTAAATAAAAAGACCTTTTTTTTAAAATTTTTTTGTTATTTCAAAAATAGTTTCGTTTTTATCTAATTTAATTCATGTTTATTGGGACTATAAGTAAAATGCTTTTTTGGCAAACTTATGGTTTTAGTATTGCAAAATAAAAATTAACTAAAAATTCATAAAAAACGAAATTAACTCTTCTAGAAAAATATCATAAAATAAAATATACAAAAAATAATATTAATTGAATAGTAAAGCAAACTTTAATATTAATAAAAGACCGGTTCGGGCTATGGTCCTTAAAAATTCAGCACAGTAAGACCGATAGGACCGGACCGTTGACCTTCACTGTACATGGAAGGCGGAACTTGTTTTTTTGATTATAGGAAAATAGGTATAACATACTTTCGATGTTTCGCGACTGACAATTTTGCTCATTATATTCCATTTGTCGATGGAAGACATAGATTTGGTTTGGCTCTCTAGCTCCCTTTTCACCAATTTTCTCAAATGTTTAGAGGAAAAATCAACTTTCTGAGTTAAAGATATTGGTTAAATATTTAAAAATATTTATAAATTAAAAGATTTTGAAAAAGGATATCGATATCTGGAATCAGGGCTAAAATCTTGTCACAAGCAGTTGGAGTTCCCAATATATCTTGATCTATGAGCATCAATTTCTCAAAATAGTTTTTTATTATGTTGAAAGAGCGACTATTGTGATTTTTCAAATTAAACATAATTACGTTTAGTATATTTTATAATAAATAAAATTATCTAGTTTTATTATTAAAAAAAACCCCAGTTATAATTAGCTGCCTGTCTTCATTTTCACTTCCGTCCCGTATTTTTCTAAAAATTCTGATTCGGGTTAACTAGGGTTTCTAATTGGTTCATTTTAGGGACCGGATCATCCATCATCTTATTCTTAATAATTAACGGTGCAAAAAAATCAGGTAACAGCTTATTATTCGAAAAAAGTAACGTATAAAAGTAAAGCGTTACTTTATATTTTATTTTTGTTTACTATTATGATTAGTTTCTAATATTAATATATAAAAATAGAGTTTTTAAAAACAAATTATATGGAAATCTCATATCATTCCTTTTTGCTGTAAATTCATTGGTCTATTGGATTGTTTTCAATTATATTAGAAATTAGTGTTAACGGAATATTGTGCATCTGAATAAAATAATAAAAAAATATTTGGTTTCTTTTTTTGAGATAATTAAGACATCCATAGATGAAAAAGATAAGGAAAAACGTTATTATTTCCGATGATTTGTGATGAACTATCAAAATTTTTTTAGAAAAAAGATATCTTTAAAAGAAAAAACCGAACTAGGCCCTCAGTAAAAAAAATTTATAAGCCCAGGCCCGACCTAGTCCTCATATTTATTACTAAAAAAAATTCCCAAACAAATTTCAAAAATTTTGCCCAAGCCCCTATCCAAAAATTTAATTTATTTCAGTGCATTTAAGCAATAATTTTGTTTGTAATAACGAAATTGCAATATTTTTTTAAGAGCAACTATTTTTAAAAAATTAATATAAATAAAAAATTTTTAGGCCCAAGCCAGCCCCAAACCCATTAAAAAAATTTAAACCCAGGCCCTATAAATATATTAGGTGTGGGTCCTGGGCCAGCCTTAAAGGTCTCTGCTATGAGCAGGTTAAAAATTAAAAATATTAGGTGGTTGAAATAAAAATATTCTTAAAAAACCAGCAATTAAATTTGAAAAAACATTGGGTGAGGAATAAATAAGTAAGTGTATGATATTTTTTTAAAACCATGGTAGGTGGGTAAACAAAAAAAATTTTAAACAAAAGGCAGGCAGGTTAAAAAAAATGCTTATTGCAGACCTCTACCATAAAGAGTATTGAAAAGCATTTAATTTCCCATTCTTCCTTTCAATACAACTATAACAGAATATTAGAGTAAAATTAAAATTTCAGATACTAACAATCGCAAAAGCCTTAAATTAGTTTTCAAAACTAGTGTTGTTAAACGGCTCATTTTGAGCCGATTTTTTAAAACGGCTAACTCAATATTGTAGCCAGAATAATTTTACCTAAGCCTCGAGATTTCGATGATATATGTCTAGACCTTTGTTCCTTCTATGAGCAAAATCTTCAGGCTTGCGTAATATTATTCTGGATGAAATATTGAGTTAGCCGTTTTTAAAAATCGGCTCAAAACGAGCCGTTTAACAACACTAGTCAAAACATTAATAATTTAACTTTTAAAAATATTCAAATTTAATATATTACGATATAGATGGGTGTATGGGATCTTCAAGTTCTACTTTGCGTAACATATTTTCACCACCCTTAAAATAAAAAAAATATCATTATGAACAAAATTATATAAACAATAAATATGAATTATTTTATAACTTTACATTTTTTAGGTTTTTATAAATTAATTACATGTTGATCAATTTGCAGAGGACTATAATCCATATTTTGTTTATTTAAATGTATAGTTTCTTATATAAAACTCAATTGTAGAGATCTACTGATACTCATCAGTAGTGTTGTTAAACGGCTCGTTTTGAGCCGATTTTTAAAAACGGCTAACTCAATATTTTAGCCAGAAAAATATTGCCTAAGCCTTGTCGCTAATAGATGTCCAAACCTTTGTTCCTTCTGCAAACAAAATATTCAGGCTTGCGTAATACTATTTTGGATGAAATATTGAGTTAGCCGTTTTTAAAAATCGGCTCAAAACGAGCCGTTTAACAACACTACTCATCAGTATTGGGTCAATATTCTTTGTATTGGTAAAAAATGACAAATTTTAAAAAAAATTGTAGCCTTATATTGGAGTATAAATAAAAAAAATAATACAGCAAAGGAAGATATGTAAAACTATTATAAATAAATAAAAAATGATAATATTAATAAATAATATCTAGAGATCAATATAAAATGTTTTTTAATATAAAAACATGCTTAAAAATATTCTTAAATTTTGAAACAGTCAAAAATAAAATTTATAAATTTAATTATTTTTTAACATTTATAAATTAGTAATAAATATTATACATTAAAATTCAGATATTTACATTTAAAAAAATTTACATAGCTTAAAAAACATTTAAATGCAAAATTTTACAATTAAAACAAATATTATAAGGGCATAGATGTATGGATGAATATTAAGTTAGATCTGAATATTCAAAGATTTATTTGTCATAGTTTTACTCAGAGACAATGAAGAGATAATAGAGTTAGTTCAAATTTTCCTAAGTGACTTTTAGCAAAATTTTGGTCAGAATCACTAAATATTTTTAAAGCAAGATTGACAATGCCAGGGTATCTAAAATATTAGTTATATCTGATATGGAATGACCACCTCTATTCAATTTAATATTTAGATTCCTTTTTTCATTATTCATTTTAATTTTTTTTTATAAAAAGTAAATATTCATCAATAAAATGTGCTCTCTCCAGGTTCCAGCTAATTATGCACATATGATTTACATTATTAACTAATATTTTTTATATCAATGAATATATTTCCTTTTAGTGTTTCAAGATTAAACAATGATGGTCATTCTAGAAAAAAATTAGTTATAATGCCATTCATAACATCCTTTGTTAAAATAAAATTTGGTTCTATATTACATTCCAAATCAAGACAAAATTATCCTTGTATATAAAAAATAACAATATTTGAGTAATCTTTTCTATAAAAAATCTCTTTATATTTAAAAAAAATAGATTATTTAATAATCTTATAATATATTTTTAGACAATATTGATATAAAAATTATTTTAAGCAAATATATTTATTTGGAAAATTTTATAGATTTTCTGCTGACCTATAATGAATAAATATGTTTAGTGTTAAATTTTTTTTAAGTAAATGTTCATTCTAAATGAGAATTTATTTGAAGGAAAGGTAAAAATAGGGACTATGACATATATGAAAATTATAAATTTTAAACAAAATAATTTAGCATTTTTCAAATAAATTTAAGGATTTACTATAACAATGGTAAAATATTCTGCAATGGCTGATCTAACATTTTTGTCTAATTTTCTAGCTAATACATCACAAACCCAACAATGTATACCCCTTCTTCCAGAATAGATCCATAAAATATGTTCAAACCCAAAATCCTCTAATTGTTTTTATTTGACATAAAATTGTTTTAATAACCTCTCAATCCAATATCCAAAATTTTTATAGCAATAACCATTAAAGGCCAACATTTTTCACACATATCAGATTCCCTATGTAACACTTGATTAATAGAATATTTCATAATATCCTTAACTTGCAACAAGTACGTACTTCATTATAATCAGAAATATCAATATCAAAAACTAATTCTTTGCTTAAAGGAATAAAATTTGCCACAGTAAATCGATCTTTGGGCTACATAACACATTAATAAAATTTAATTATTTTATTTACTCTAAAGTTGTAAACAGCTCCAATGTCAATCTTATAAGGAATTTTTTGAGATATTTGCTTCTCTAACTCTGACTGATTCATATAGGATAAATATCTTATGTATACATCATTTTCCACGGTAAAAGAAAATTCACGGTTTGAAAAGTAAGTTTTATCAACTAATAAACATTTTTTATAAAAACTCGTTATGAAAATCAAACCTCCTCCATAATTTAGCCACCGATAATATAAAGAAAAAGGGAAAAGCCGCTTATAATAAATAGGAAGGTAATCTGATAAGTAATGATTTAGATTTGTATCTTTCAAATTATCCATAGGATTATTTTTAAAAAAGTGTGGGGATTAAAGGATAGATTAGAAATATAATTTGGTAATCTTAATGCTAACTATTACTTGCCGTAAAATAAATTTCTTATTTTGGAAGTAACTATGAATTTAATTTACAGGTATAATTAATTAATAAAATAATATCAATAAATAGACAGAATTTGTTAATTTTTGATACTGCGTTCTAGCTTGACTAAATTATTCATGATTTGGTCAACTAATTTGTTTTAATTATTATTATCAATTGTATTTAAAAGATGTCTTATAAAACTTAGTGAATTAATTTTGATTAACTATATTTATGAATAATATAATTCAATTCCATATGGAATGACAAATAGATCATAATCCAGAAAGGAACAGAAGGATATGCAGGGTTTAACGTAAGGTAACAATAGCGTTATGTTACATATCACTCATATTTTTTACATTTAAAATTGTGAAAGCTATTAACTATTAATTTTTGAGTAAGTGACATTTGTTTTTCATTATTTCTAATATATTTATTTATTCATTTACACCCCAAATTCATAAAATCAGAATATAAATCATAATATATTTTTACTGACAAAATTATTGTAGATGATTATAAAATTAATGTCAAAGAGTAAAAATATAATAGCATAGACTGTTTTATTGATAATAAGCAAGCTTATAATTTTAAATTATATATACAATAGACTTTGAGTCTTGATGAAGTTTTCTAAAATATCTAACTCTTCGCGTAGGCAGGAATTTGGTCTGGGGGGGGGGGGGGATAATAATTTTTTTTAAGAAATATTATTGTTATTTAAAAATGTCAGCATAAATTTATTAGGACTAATAATTATTTCTAATACACAATTTTAAATTATATGAATTATAAAAAAATTGTATATATAAACTGGCACATAAAATTTCAATTACTCATCCTAGCTTGACCTCAAATACTTATAAATATTTAAAAGATCCAAACCATTCAATCTACTTTCAGAAGTTGTACTTCTTAGGTATGTTTTTCAGAGAACTGCAGGCCCAGTTCCCGGGCCCGACTGTATTTTTATTTTTTAAATATACACGGACCGGGCCCTAATTTTTTTTAAAAAAACACCCGGGCAGGGCCTTAATTTTTTTTTAAAAAATTATCCGGGCACGGCTGTATATTTTAAAAACAAATATTTGAAATTAGCTATAAAAATCAAAAATAAATATAATTTATTTAAAAATATCCGAGCTGGGCCTGAAAATTTTATTTTAAAAAAAGCCGGGCCAAGCCTGAAAATTTCTTTTAAAAAAACTCAGGCCGGGCCGAAATTTTTTTTAAAATAATCCGGGCCCTGCCCTGCAAATGGTATTTCTGCAGGGCTCTGTTATTCTTCTTAAAAAGAGAATGTTCCCTCATTAGTTTACTAATGGGAAGAGCTGCTAATATATATATAATCATTTTAATACATTGGGAATATAATATAAATGTGTTTAAAATTATACAAAGCATCCATAGCATTTTTTGGGACTATGTCTTAGTTAATCATTTAAACATCGTTATTCAGTTAATAAGGCATCAAACAAATATTATTTTTTTCTATCACCATCTGAAAAAGATTGGGAAGGCTTTAATGGAAGTAATATCGGAGATTGGTAAGTGCTGCATGATTAATTAAAAACCATTTTATTTGGATTATAGTTTTATAATACTTTTCTACTGACCTTAAACTAATGCTTTGACGATGAGCTTGCCTTGCTGCAAGTCTAGGGAGACAAATATTAAACACGTATAGCTCTCCTTTTGACTCAATAATAACATATAAAATTGTTCATCAACATTAGCCCTAATTTCCTTGAGTTCTAATAAAATGCTCTCCGCTATTTTCATCTTCTTAATCAAGTCAATGCCATATTTTTGAAAAGTATTATATAAAATAGTTGTATAATTAAATAATACATTCTAATAAGAAAAAAAATTTGGAATAAGTATTGAATCCAATAATTTTCTTGCTTCTGAGGAAATATTTCTTTCACGCCATTGTGATATTTCAGTAATAGCATTAATAATCGATTCTTCTAACTCCATAAAAGCTGTTATGCTTGATGGCGGAGAATCGATCTCGTTGTACAAGCTTGCAATTTCTTTCTCCCTGTTGGACAAGCAGTTTCAGAAAATTATTATTTGACTAGAAATATGAAAATGGTAGATAAATATTACGCCACTAGAAATTTGAAAATAATAGGTAAATATTACGCCAATGAAAACTTGAAATCGGAATTAATTGATAAAATAACTTAATAGATGAATTGATAAATAAATGTAATTAAATATATATTTAATATGAGATATAAATTCTAATAAATATAAATTAATATAAACATTAATATTTTTGAAAAATATATCCAGCATCATTTTTGGGCTTTTGGGGGGAGGGGGGACTTGATCTAACTTGAAAGCCCACTGAACAAGAAATTTCAGTTTTAAAGGAGAGGGAACCTGATTTGTTTGTAAAAATATACTAAGATTATAAAACCTCTTGCCAAAACACTTCAAACCATGACCATTGATATTATGATGACTTAATACCAATATTATTTGAATAAGGTTTTTTTGTTTTTCATATTTTTTTATAGCCACATAGAAGATAGAGAATTGAAAGGTTTTATTTTTCAATATTTTAATTTCCTCATTTTATATTTTATCATCCGCTAAAAATTTTTGATTATCCATTTTTAGGGATGTTAGAAAAAATTCATGATAATAAAAAGTTAAAAGCAATATTAATCGACAATGTTGACAGGTTTTTGAAATATTACTTTATCTCAGTGGTGGAGCGGACTGATCATGAATTTTTGACAATATGAATATAGATTCGCCCACAAATGCACTCCACACCAATTGTCTAAAAGGTTGAAATTTGAAAAGCGATCGCGATCTCATGAAAAAGGGGAGAGGTAGTTTCGACTACAAAACTGACATAATAATATAATTGCCAAATGGTTTGACAACAAATTAGTTCATGTTATATCATATTTCAATGGTAATAAAAATGTGAGGCTATAGTTCTTGACGAAAATTTTAAAAAATATAATGAAGGAATGAGAGAGATTTACATGATATACTATATATCAAAGGTAGAAGGTTCTATCTTCGAATAATATTTTATTTGATAGATATCTGCATTGTGAATGCATGGTCGAAGACATTTACTTCAAAAAAAGGAAAAATCTTCTATAAAACTTATAACATTTAAATCTTAAATAGTTACTGCTTTATTAATGGCAAATAAAATTAGTAAAAGGAAAATAGGGAGACCATCAAATTAAACTCCTAAAATACAAAAAGGATCTAGGTTACCTCAGTTGCTAGATACGATAATATAGGGCATTGGCCAGAAGCTTCCAACACTCGAAATAGTGTAAACTATGAGTTAGCGCTTATTCAAGGACTAAGTGTGTAAAATGTGAAATGTATTTTTGCTTTAACCTAGATAGGAATTGTTTTAAAACATTTCATAATAAATAAATAAATATTTTTTTATACATGAATTGAGCTCAATGTAGGTATACTATGAAATAAAAGTCGGAACAAAAATTTTACATCCTTGGTGTGTATAAATGAAGATATCTTATAAAATTTTTTTTTAGAAAAAGTCTAGTTTTAAAGGGTTAAAAATTATATTATAAATTATTTTTTAGAAAGAAAACAAAATAAAGGGTATATGGTTGTAGGGTTTACCCTAAAAGTCTGCAACACCCGCCCTTGCCCTCCAATATGTAGATATTGATCAAGTTTTTTTAAATTTTAAATATTTGGCAGGTTGCGAGAAGGTATATTATTTTTAAAGTAATGGACTGACGTGGAAGGGGGGGGGGGGGGTAAAAAAATTTTTCAAGCGAAATGAAGATAACAGAATTCAATTTTTTATAAATATAGGTTTTACTTTATAATATTGAATATAATATATATTTAATTCAAAATAAATTAAAATAAATAAATAATGATCTAAACCAGCTATTAAAAAATTTTTAAACATTAGGCGAGAGGGTAAATTTTTTTTATAAAATAATTACAAATAGGTGTGTGGGTTAAAATAATTCAAAATAATAAGCGTGTCAGCTATTTGCTATAAAGTCCCAGAGATCTTTATTCTATATTTCTCAGTAATTATCAATATAAAATAATTGTAATTCTGTCTTAAAGCTATCCTTATCCTCCCAGAAATGATGATGTACTAGTTTCTTCACCCCCTTCATTTTCGGCTAAAGCTTAACAACATGATCTAAATAAGAGTGACTCTAAAATTTTATAATTCATATTTATTCTGAAATAACTTGAACCCTGTGTTACGATTAGGAAGGGAATCAATCTTGATTATGAGTGTATACGATTATTTGTAATAATTCTAAAATAAATTAAAAATTCTTTTAATATTTATTTAATTGGAAATTGATATCACAACATATAAAATCGATATTAGAATCTAGCCAAGCATTCCTAACCAGGGTTGCCAGATCAAAATTTCAAAATTGCGGGAGATATTTGGTAGTATGCGGGAGAAATATAAAAATATTGACTTAATTATCCGCCTATTATTTTTTATTTAGTTTATATAAATACAAAGTCAGTAACTATTT